AACATTCATATTATTCATAGAAATTGGAACTGTATTGATTTTTTCTGCTTTCTTTCCAATCATAGGGCAGCTTTCCCATGTTCAGCAGCAGGCTTTCTCCTGCAAGTGTCCTGAGGTGTGGCCTAGGTGTGTTCAAATCTATCTTAGTCATTTGTCCGTCACCTTGTCATTAGCATGGCGTCTGTATTTAATTGGGCTTCCTTCCTTCATCAGAAATCAGTTTTTATATACCATGAAAACTGCAGCCCATTATTAAAAGCCAGCTCTAAGCAAGATTCTTGGCTCTTATTTATACAAGAAGCAGTGAAAATAGTATCTTAAGTACTCCTTCAGGAGAGTGGTGTATGTGAAGAACACACTATGTGTGAGTCCAGTATCGTGCCTCAAAGCCACCTATTTCTCAAGTTTTACCTCATAAGCAACTTGGTTAAGGGGTTTTCTGCAATCTGTTCAGCCTCTTGATAGGTTGTAATCATCAACAACTTTCACTGGTTGTATCTTCACCTCACAGAAAATATTGCTGAATTATTGTTGTCGTTAGTATTTCAATAGACCTTAGAAACAGCATTGAGATCAGCACTCTATTTGTGTGTAGTAAGGGTTGGTCCCTCCCTGGAAATGGTTGCACTTTGGAGGGAAAATGAGAGAAAACACTACCCTAGCTTTAGAAAGCGAGATGCTGTGCATGAGGATTGGAGGATCCTAGCAGACCAGCAGCCAGTAAATTCTCGCAGGAAATGCAGACAACACCACCAAGCTGAGTGGTGTGGTTGCCATGCCTGAAGGATGGATGCCATCCAAAGGGACCAGGACAAGCTTGAGCAGTGAGCCCATGGGAATCTCATGTGGTTGAACAACACCAAGTGCAAGGGGCTGCACCTGGGTCAGGCAACCCCCAGTAGGAACACAGGTGGGGGATGAGCAGATCAGAGCAGCCCTGCTGAGAAGGACTTGGGGTGTGGGTGGATGAGAGGCTGGACATGATCCAGCCCAGAGAGCCAAATGTGTCTTGGGCTGCATCCAGAGCTGTGTGGGCAGCAGATTAAGGGAGGGGATTCTGCTCCTCCACTCTGCTCTGGTGAGACCCACCTGGAGTGCTGCATCCAGCTCTGGGGTCCCCAATATTTCTTATGTTGTGGATCTGTCCAGAAGTGAACCAGACCACAAAGATAATCAGAGGACTTGGACATCTCTCCTGCTCAAGGTTGGAAGAGTTGGGGTTCAGCATGGAGAAGGCTCCATGGTGACCTTTTTGTGGCCTTCTAATCTCTAAAAGGGTCCTACAGGAGAGCTGCAGAGGGGCTTTTTACAAAGACTTGTAGTGATAGGACAAGGCTTTAAACAGAAAGACAGTAGATTTAGATTAGATATAAGCAAGAAATTTCACTGTGAGACGAGCCAGACATTGGAACAGGTTACCCACAAAAGCTGTGAGTGCCTCATCCCTGGAAGTGTACAAGGTAAGATTGGATGGGGCTTTGACCTGTCTGTGGCTTAGTGGAAGGTGTCCTTGCCCATGGCAGGGGTCTTGGAACTAGGTGATCTTGGAGGTCCCTTCCAACTCAGACCATTCCAGTATTCTATGAGTCTGTAATTCCATGTACTTGAGCTGCATAAAGAACATTGCCAGCAGGTCACCACAAGAAATCCTTTCTCTCTCTCTCTGCACATCTGGAGAGCTGCAAGCGTTGCTGGGCTCCACAGTGCAAGGAGGACATGGACATACCAGAATGACTCCATTAAAGTGCCAGAATCATCACTGAAGAATAGCAGTATGAGGAGAGGCTATGAGGAGAGGCTAAAAGAGCAAAGGTTAGTAATGTTTAGCCCAGAGAAAAAATACCTGTGTAGGTCTTAACAATGTATGATCACCCAATTTTTGATGAGACAAGTAAAGACAGAGATAGTGTCTGCTCAGTGGCATCTAATGACAAGACAAGAGGCAATGAGCACAAATTAAAATACAAGAAGTTCTGCTTAAATGTGGAGAAGACCTGTTAACCTGTTTTAGTGTCTGTGCTGTCAAAAACTGCAATAGAGAGATTGCCCAGAGAGCTTCTGGAGTCTCCATTGTTGAGGGAGTCAAAACCCAGCAGGATACCACCCTGAGCAACTCAGTGTACATGACCTTGGTTTGAGCAAAGGTCTGAACTGTGTGGCCCCCAGAGTTCCCTTCCATGATGCTTCGGTCATCCTGCACCCAGGAGTAAAGCTGAGCACAGGATACCAGGCTGTCTGATCTGACCCAGCTGAACTTGGCACACGATCAGAGGGGATTGCTCCCCACATCCCAGATTATAAGATAGTAAGCTGATCTAAGGACTTGCTCTATTTAACACCCATGTTCCTTGGCTTCCACCCCCTGTCCCCAGGCCATGCTTGTAACTGCAATCACCTGCATTCAATGACATTCCAGCTGCATTCTTCTTCTCTGGGCACAGGGCCATACAAGTGACCCAGGAGTCAATATCACAGCTCTTGCTGCCAGTGGATTCCCCGTCTGGGAGTGGATAGCCAGGTACACATCTGACAGCATTTGCTAGTGTGGCACAACAGTGTTTTAAGCCCTGCACTATTAGAATCATCACTGGCTTCACCTGGAGACAATCAACCCCAACAATGGATATGCAGAGACAAAGCAAGGTAGATCACAAAAATTCAGATTGTCCTGGTGCATCAAGCCTTGCCCTCCTGTCTTAGTGGCAGCAATGCTATTGGAAATTCTGGAAAATATGCAAATGATGTTCAAAATATTTCTCTGTAGTTGCTGCTTGTGGTAACTTGTTCATAAAATAGTAGATTCAGGCAACTGAGATGTGTATGAATGTTTGATATTAAGAAACAGTAGGTTCAATTTGAGAAAAATGGGTTTAAATCTAACCAGAGTGATCAGATAGTCATGAATAATAAGAAGTCACGTGTGAAACATATTCAGTAAAGTGTCCAGTAAAACTAGTTTCGACATCATACTAATCTCTAAAATTATAATGTGTGAGTCACAGCCCTTAGATGATCTTAAGCTTTACTAGAGGATACCCTGCTTTGTGTTCAGCAGCATAAACAACTGAGCAAGGACCTGTGCAGACCTGGTGAATACAACAGGACCCTTTTGAATTCACTGTAAGTAATGTTTTGGGTTTTTTTTTAATGTGGAAAATTGTCAAAAATTATATTCAGGACAAAAATTTTTGAATATTCAACTGAGAAATTATTATGTTCATATTCAAGTTTTGGCTTAAGCTTCTTGGATTGTTTAATTATGATTTTGGGGTTTTTTAAATAGAAAAGATAAGTCCTCTGTGAGATTGGCACATTCGTACAGCATGACTCTCCTTAGGAAAACTGCATTTCTAAATGTTTTTAATTAAGTACATTGACGATAATAACAAATGTAGGGCATGAAATTAAATGGAAGTGGGGTCTTAAGGATTGCTCCCTAAAGCATCTAGAGAGCATTAAAAAAAAAGAAACCAACTAAAAGAATTAGTGTAAGAGTGATGGTGGGAGAAGTCACAAACAAATCAGAGCTTAAATTTAAATGTATTCTAGATATGAAAGTGAACTGTCTGAAAGTGGTTTGTCATGGGATTCAGGCCCTTCCTAGCAATAGTAGTATTCCCATGACCATGATATTCAGAGTGTGAATTAAGGAGTATTTAGAGCATCTATTACTAAAGCCGAGATCAGCCTTCTGAGTTCACTGGGTTTTGGAGAAACAAAATGATGGAAAGTGGAGAACAAAAATGTGGGATCATGGTGAGAGCTGATAAGGATTCAGAGCTTTTACAAGGCAGAGGCTGCATTTCCCAGTGCAAGTCAAAAACCTCAGATATTTTACCCCTAGAGAGAGCTTTGTTTTATAAAAGGTTTGGTAGGTCAAATGATCGCATACCACAGGAGGATGTTTTGGATTTCCAGATATTCCACATCTTTACTTCTCTCTATTGACAGAAGTTATTGAACCAATTGTGATACAGTATTAATTTCTAGAGGTGAAAGTGTTGCCATAGATGTGGAATGAATGGTTTCCCTGCTTCTCTGGAAAAGGCTTTCCTGTTTTGTCTGTATTTTTTTAGTGTCTTTGTTCCTCCAGAAGTCACTCACTCATCTTCGCTTTCAACCATTGTAAGCTCCTCTGCCAAATCACTCTTTTCTATCTTTCTGATGATAAAGACAATACTTCTCTACAGTTTCTCTACTTTTAAAATTTTTTTTAAATTTTGTTTTTAGGTGATTTGATTCGGTCACTGGGCTGGGCACGCCTCTGCATGCAGCAGGCACACTTATTTCTTTTTGGTGCTCTATGTACATACTCATTTTCCCTGTCTTTATAAGCAGCACTGTATATTCAGGGTTTTGATAACATCCTAATTGCTATTTCTTTTGCTATTTTTGTGGAAGTTGTTTTTTTCTTTTAGTTGTGCTCAACTGTTCAAGCTTTATGAAATCACCATAAATGCTCATCACTTCCTCATTAAACAAGTGCATTTGCATTCTCTTATGTGCCTGCATATGGGTTTATATGTAGCCCATTCAAAGACATATGTTTCAATTTTCACAAAAAAGGTATATTTTGCCTTTCTTCTGCTTTGATTTTTCATCAGTTAAATTTCCAAATTTAACTGATTAGCTTTGACTGTCTCCCTTGCTTTCTTCTCAATAAACCTGTGCTTTTGACTCTTTCATCAATTAAAGCCACACTGAAAACAGAATATTGGGGAAAAAAACCAGTTTAAAATGAATTGTAGCTTAACTTTAATGAGGGCGTATTTGGAATTACCTCATCCTACTTTGACTTTAATTTTTATTATTTCATAACCTCTTCAGTAGGTTGAGCAATTTTCCAGAGTCTGCTTCCTTGAAATAGAAAGCTCATTTCCCCCAGTTCAAACATCTTGGAGTCACTGGTGCTAAGCTAACTCTGTATAGTGAAGGGATTGATGTATTGCTAAACAGAAGGTGAAAAGATTTGTAAGCCAAATGTAACTTTTCTTCTATTACAGAATCAGAGAAATATGAAGATGTTGCTTTCCCTGTGTCTTTTACTTGTTGGAATCCATTCCAACAGTTATTGCTATGAGCCTTATCAACAAGGGGTAAGAAACCAGAACCAAAGAGCACAAGAAAACCAAAACATGCCATTGCACAGTGTAAGGAACAGTGTTTGTCGATTTGCATGTTGTTTCTACAAAGATATTTCTTCTCGTGAAAACAACGGAAATGTTTTCTTCTCTCCTTTGAGCATCTCTACCGCCTTTGCAATGCTGACTCTGGGTGCCAGATCAGACACCCTGACACAGATTCTTAGGGTCCTTTGCTTTAACCCTCATCAGATTTCTGAAAATGACATACATGAAGGTTATCGTCAACTCATGCAAATGGTAAACAGAAGGAATGGGGGGTTACAGTTGAATATGGGAAATGTTCTGTTTGTGCTTGATCGACTGAAGCCACAAGAAAAATTTTTAAGTAATCTCAGAAACTTCTATGAAGGAGAAGCTTATCCTATGAACTTCAAGAGGGCTGATCAAGCCCAGATAAAGATCAATGAATATGTAGCAAGAAGAACGAATGGAAAAATCAAGGACCTCGTAAATAACCTAGATCCACTTACTGAAATTCTCCTTATTAGCTATATCTATTTTAACGGTAAGATATACATATTGTGTTCTTCTACTCCATAAATTATTTCCTCAGGTCAGTCTTGGACTTCATCATTTTTTGCAATACAGTTTTGCAGGTGGATTTATGTCTCGTTTCCCTTTTGGTCCTCACTTATATTTAATTAGAAACAAAGCTTTTGGAAATTATGTTCTACTTGACACTGATAACTCCTAGCAAAATGGATGGAAAATTTTCCCATATCTTTTAATATATAAACTTCTTTCCTTCAGAAAATTAAGTGAAATATATGTTGAGGAAGGCATCTCTAGGCAGTAAAGCATCTAATCCCATACAGTCTAGTAGGATTCAAGCACTTTCTTAAATGTTTGGCTGAGATCCATTTCTGTGAATTTCAATCCAGCTGGGTTTTTTGTTCAGCAAGTCCAGAGCTAAATGCAAAGAATCCTATTAAAGGAAAACTTAACATCTTATCAAACAGAATATGTTTAGACAACAGCTTTGCTGTTACTGTGTATGTTTATGTATTGACAACTAAACATGCTACAATAGCTTTAATTTCACGCTTATGTTCTTATTTTTTTACTAACCATGCCTTTGCCAATAGCATGTCTGTAGTCCTGGTGTGTCTAGAGGCATTGGTTTCAACCTTTTTTTTTTGATTTGCAGATTCTAATATTTTCCAGTGGAGAGATGGACCCACCAGTATCAAATACAAGCCTATTGACAATAAGCTTGTTTTTCTTAATTAACTTGTGCAGTCTGCTTAGATACAGTCTTCAGATCTTCCCAGAGCTTTTCAGACTTCTGATCTAATGAGAAGAACAGGATCAAGGCTGTAAGGCTCAATCAGTGGTCTAATAACAGATATTGCGTCTTATTTCAAACTTTCTCTCTCTTACTGATTATATGCCGAAAGCAAAGTATTTGTAGGCAGAGAAATAACATTCCGTAATTTATCTGATAAAAATATCATCAAGCTTTTTAATTGAAATAGAGATTACATATTAGATAAATTTTTAAAAGAAAAGCTATCCTTTTAGAACTGTTAACCTGGATGCTTGCGCTTTCCAATATGAGGCTTCCCCTGAAAATAATTAAGAACCATATTTCTGTTTTGCTTTGCTTTCCATCTGCATCTCTGCTCCTTGTATTAATGTCTGCAGATTTGGCCACAACTAAATGGAGCTAATTGAAATACAGATCACTGATGTTTCTTAGTTCTCTTGAAAACCTACTTGCTTATCTCAAATAAGGTTTTCATTTAGACTTTTATTAAGCATCAGGTACATCTTTCAAGACAGGCAAAAAAACGTTGATTTTTCTTTTACGGAAAGGTGTTTGAAGAATGAGCAATGAATTTAGAAACACAATGGAGACAAAAGCCCAAGAAGCCTTGTATTAAAGATGACTTTGTATTACAGTTAATTTTTACATGTTCTAACAGTAAGGATTCTTGATTTTTTAAAAGAGATGTTCAGTTTACTATCCCAAAGATTTTCTAGCTCCTCTAAAGGTGGTGGAGTTTCAGTTTTAGCTCACCAATTTTAAAGCAAATAGATAGCAAATGAATAGCATTAATCACAATGATATAATAACATTTTTTTGGTCTTGAGATCAAGAGTAGGTTAATTATCTAGAGGTGGGATTAATCTGGAGAGGATTTCTAAACCTCACTGTATAACCAGTCCATACTTTCAGGTGTTGGTCCTCTTTTTGTGCATTACAAACTCCCTTGCACATTACTGGTGACATTTTTTTTTTTTGTGGTGTAGCATAGTACAGAATTCCTTCTTCAAGGACAAAATTCTGGCAATATTTTCCTGACCCTGACCTACAAGACATGTTATTCCACTATATTAACACCAATCCCTTTTCATGCTTTAGTCAAGTTGGTAAAGACAAAGTATACTTTGAATTTCGTTTTGCCCTTTGAGCACTGTGAAGCACTTGAGGAAGGTGCCTAGAAAGTGTCCCCCTAAGACAGATGTGAGAACAGGAATAAGAGTGCCTTTGAAATAGGAGAAAAGTATTAGTGAAGATCATCTCTGTCTAATCTGTGTGTTAACTGATAGTCATGGCTTGGGACCTTAATGATCATCTAGTTCCAATCCCCCTGTGATGGGCAGGAACACCTTCCACTGTACCAGAGTGCTCAAAGGACTGTCCAACCTGGCCTTGATCACTGCCAGGGATAGGGCATCTACAATTTCTCTATTCCATCTTCACAACCCTCATAGTAAAGGATTTCTTCCTTATATCTAATCTAAATTTTAATTTGCCCTCTTTCAGTTTAGTCATTCTCCTTTGTCCTATCACTGTCAGCCTATATAAAAAGTCTTCCCCCCTCTATAGGTACTTCCCCACTTTAGGTACTGGAAGGGACTCTAAGGTTTCCCTGGATTCTTCTCTTCCCAGGCTGAACAGCCCCAACTCTCTCAGCCTGTCTTCACAGGAGAGGTGCTCCAGCCCTCTTGATCATTTTCATAGCCCTCATCTGGAGTAACTCCAACAGATCCACATACTTCTTTTATTGGAGACCCCAGAGCTGAATGCAGTACTCCAGGTGGGATCTTGTCAGAGTGAAGCAGAAGTGGAGCTGGCCACACTTTTTTGATGCAGTTCAATATTTGTTTGGCTTTCTGGGCTGCAAGCACACATTGCTGGGCATGTTGAGATTCTAATCAACTTACAGGACCAAGTCCTTCTCCTCAGGTCTGCTTTCAACTCAATCCATTATTTTCCCAGCTTGTATTTATGTTTGGGATCGCCCCAACCCACATGCAGGACCTTGCACTTGGCGTTGTTGAATTTCACAATATTCTAATGGGGCCACCTCTCAAGCCTGTCTCACTCTCCCTGCATGGCACCCTCTCTGTCTGGGTGGCATCCCTTCACTCTGGAGTGCATCCTTTCCTTGCAGCATGTCAACAGAGCGACACCATCTTGGTGTCACTGGCAAACTTGTGGAGGGTGCACTCAATTCCACCGTGCACTTTACCAACAAAGATACTGAACAGCCCTGGTCCTAATACCAACCTCTGAGGAGCACTGGTCATCCCTGTTCTCCTCTTGGACCACAAGCCATTGATTGCAAGCCTTAATGCAAACATCCAGACAATTCCTGACCCACTCAGTGGGCCACCTCTCACACCCATCTCTCCAGTTTAGAGTCAAGGGTGTCATGCGGGACAGTGTGAAATTCTTTGCAGAGCTCCTGGTAGATGACATCAATTGATCTTTACCACAGTTTACCCTTAGTGAAGTCATGTTGTCTGTCACCAATCACTTTCTAATTTTCCATGTGTCTTAGCATAGTTTCCAGGAGGATCTTCTCCATATCTTGCCACTCAAAGAGGTGAGAAAGACTGGTAGTTTCCTTGGTCTTCCTTTTCTTCATTTTTAAAAATGAGAGCTCTCATTTATCTTTTTCAGTCAGTGGAAATTTCACTGAACTGCCATGACTTCTCAAATATGATGGATAGTGGTATTGCTGTTCCATCTATTTCCCTCATGATCTGCAGGTCCCATGGACATGTTCATCTTCAGGTTCTTCACATGTTCTTGGACCTGATCTTCTTCTACAGTGGACTACTTTCATTCTTCCAGTCCCTGCACTTGCCAGTAAAGATGGAAGGAAAAAATGTCATTGAGTACCTCAGCCTTGTCCATGTTCTGAGTAACCAGGCTTCCCATTTCCTTCTGGAGGGAGTTCACATTTTCCCTAGTCTTCCTTTTATCATTGTCATACCTATAGAAGCTTTTCTTGTTGCCCTCAATGTCCCTGGCCAGATTTAATTCTATCACACCTTTAACTTTCCTAATCTATTCCTTGGAGGCTCAGAAAATCTTTTTTTTATACCTCCCAGGTTACCTGTCCTTGCTTCCACCTTCTGTAGGCTACCTGTTGTGTTTGAGTTCACTAAAGAGTTCCTTGTTCATCCACATAGGCCTCCTGGCATTTTTACCTGACTTCTTCGTTAGGATGGATCACCCTGTGCTTGGTGGAGGTCATCCTTGAATAATAAGAGAATCATAGAACCATTAAAGTGGGAAAAGACCTCCAATATCTTTGAGTTCAGCCTTTAATTGAACACCATCATATGGAATAAACTATTTGCACTGAGTGCCAAGTCCAGTCATTCCTTGAACATTTCCAGTGATCATGATTGTACCATATCCCTGAGCAGCTTTTTAAGATGTTTGACAACTCATTCAGTGAAAAAATTCTTCCTGATGTCCAACCTGAATCTCCCCTGAAAGAGCTTGAGGCCATTTCCTCTTGTCCTGTCACTTGTTACCTGGGAGAAGAGACTGACCCTGACCTGGCTACAGCCTCCTTTCTGGCAGTTGTAGAGAGCAATGAGGTTCCCTCCCCACACACAGCCTCCTTTTTTCCAGCCTAAAACACCCCAGTTCCCTCAGGTGCTCCTCACATGACTGACTCTCTAGACTCTTCCCCAGCTCTGCTGCCCTCAATGCTCCAGCACATCAATGTCTTTCTCATTGTGAGGGTCCCAAAACTGGACCTTGAACAGAACTCAAGGTGTGGCCTCACCAATGCTGAGTACATGGGGACAATCACTGTCCTGGTCCTGCTGGCCACACTATTGCTGACACAGGCCAGGATGCCATTGGCCTTCTTGGCCACCTGGGCACAGCTAGCTCTTGTTCAGCTGCTGTTAACCAGCACCTTTAGGTCCTTTTCCACTGGGCCACTTTCCAGCCACTCTGCCCCCAGCCTATAAAGCTGATGAGATCATTGTGACAAACCAGCTTTCTTGGGGTCCTCTTCCCTCCACGGCTTTATCCCAAGCAGATCTCTGAAGAGACCAAAGTTTGCACTCCCAAAGCTCAGAGTAGTGATCTTAACATCCTATGCAGTTTTCAAGCAAAATTCTTCTTGAAATCAGTTGGTTTTCCCTGAGTTGAGCGCTAGATAAATGTTAAGTTTTTCAGGACTGGTGTCATTTATGTTTTTGTGATTCATTCTACTTTTTTTTTTTCCTCAAGCATAATAATGTAAAAGTTCTGCGTGTTATATATCTGATGATAGAAGTCACTATTAATGAAGTATATAAAAGTATATGAAAAGTATAAAAGTAGCAAAAAGTAGCAACTTTTTCCTGCTCAGAGTGTTGCAGTTGTCAATCTATGCTTTCAGAGACCAAGACATGCACTGAAGAAGCCTCATTTCACTTTTTCAAAAGCTACTTAGTAGTGCAGGCTATGTCAGATGGTGGAAAGAGCAGATGATAATTATTTCATTTGTAACAAGTTGCCTAGTAATCAGTGTTCAAATAGAAATCAGAAGTCAAAAGGGGTTGCATCTTGTTTCATGATTTTCTTGATGCCACTTATTTTAGTTAGTGTCACAGCTCTACTTTTGCCCATTGCATTTGATAAAATGTTAGTTTTGCTTTAGAAGGCAAAATTTACTACAGAGCAACAAGATTTCTTAAAAATTACATTAAAAACAACAAAAAAAAACCTTTCCAAAACTCCACAATTACTTAAAAAAATTTGTTCAGCCTCTGAAACATGTGATGTGGATACCTGGAATTTGGCTTTGAAATTCCTCTCCACTGAGGATAAGAACCTTTCAGAGTTTCAATATGGATGGTTTGTTTCACCATGACTAAGTGAGGAACTTTTGAAAATTTAATATGATGAAGACAGTGGAAAAGTTTTCTGCTGTTGCTGTTTTGTTTCCTAACTCAGCAGTCTGGTAAAATTAAGCTCCTTATGACTCTATACATCACCAGATAATGTGAGGTATCAACACCTCTCTGCAAGTAACCCAAATCCCTTAAATTCTCTGGAGAATTCATCCCTCGTGCCACCCTTTACTAGCCTATTTTGTTTTGGGAATAAGAAAATGAGAGAATCTTCTTCTGAGATTAGATAAAGGCTGCATTATATGAGGACTTTACAGGCTCCTCAAAACTGTTATCATGGAAGAAAAGTGCAAGTTAAAACCCTTGATAACTCATCTAAATGAAGGATTTTGCAGCCTGCTGTAAGATCTGAGGGAGTGTTTTACATCACATTCTACCGTGTGTTGCTATTGAATTATTCTGAATATTTATTAAGAGCAAGTGATCATTGTAAATTGGTTTATCTTTGAAGCTGATCCATCTGTGCCAGTTTCTGTCATCTAAGAATGTGTCCTATGATATGTGGTTTCATGTCCTCAAAAATATCCTGTAACTCTGTCTCTTATATTTCAAGCTGAATGGGAAAAACCTTTCGATCCAAAATACACTAAAATGAGCAAATTTTTTGTGGATGGATACAAGGCTGTTGAAGTCCCAATGATGTTTGGAATGGGCCTGTTCAAGCATGGCTATGATGAGCAGCTGTCTTCCACTGTGGTGCAAATGGATTACAAAGGAGGTGCTTCAGCATTTTTTATTCTGCCTGATAGAGGAAGAATGAGGAAGCTGGAGAAAAGATTGTCTTGTGAACGTTTGTCAAGGTGGACGACATTAGTCACAAAAAGGTAAAATTCTGCAGTTCTTGGTTCAGATGGTAGCCAAGGAAACAAATGTGCTGGGATATGACACAGAATCAGTATGCAATTTTTAGTTCTGCTTTAAGCAGTAGAAGAAATTTCCTGACCTAAGTTGGATCTGGCTGATTTAGTGTCCATGTGTTTTCACATTCTGTACTGCATGCACTGAAAACCTTCACAGAGTAGGACTTTTGCTATTTCTGCATTTTGTTTCCCATCTTCAGCTCTTAATAGGCCCAAGTTTTTTTACTTAGAATGCTTCTCACTTTTTTGGGGGGAGGTTTTCTGCCTTCTATTTACAAGTAAATTCCTACCACTTCAGCCTCTTTTCTTGTCTCTTTCTTAATTTCTGCCTATTAAAATTAACAGCAATTGTACAATTAAAGTTGAAATAACTTCCATTCAGCAATTGTGAGGGCAAAGCTCAATATGTGGAAAAAAACAAACCAAAACAAAATAAACAAATCTTTAAAAACCACACAAAAACAATATCATTCTCTGTGCACCTTTACAGTTTTGAAACTTCTGGGAGTAGCTATGTGATTTGTGACTATAGGACAAAAAGATGGTGAATCAAGATACTTAGGCATAATTTTTGCCAGAGAAGCAATTGCCTTTGCAGTTATCAAGATGAATGGTAAATACAGTTGGAGGAATTTGTATTTCCTCTCTCCATCTTATAACATGAAAAAGAATCACAGTGAAAGATAAGTTTGTTTCATGCTGCTCCCCATATTTCATCATAACCATTCTCTCCTACAAAATAATGACACAAATTCCTCCTTTTTCCTTTAATCTTTAAAACAATTGATTGTATCAGCTATTATTTGGAGTCTCTGGGAGGTCTTAATAAATGAAAGTATTATATAGAATCATGTAAAGGCTGTAAGCTATGTGTTTGTCCCTTCTCTGTCTGCAAATTGGTGTTGATATTAGTGGCAGAAGCGTTGTGAAGGACATTTTCATTTCTGGTGGCTGGCAAAGAGAATAGTGCTGAAGTGTCACCAGCACAGACAGCTAACATCTTTTAAATGGCTGAACTATAGAGAAAATGTCACTTTCACTTCTGGAACGTGTATCCCACTGCTCCTTTCCTGGTTGCATTGTTACTGTGTGTGTGTTTGTGGCTTTCCCACTCCTCCGGAAGCAAGTGGGGCTCCTCTGGAAGCAATTGGGGGGAAGAAGTGCCTTTAGGTAACAGTAAGGCAGATGATTCAGTGATAGCTGCAGCCTCATTCAGGGCAGCAATCAGCACAGACTGAAATCAGGGAGAAGCAAGCGGTCAGCAACTTGTTACCAAACTACCAGCACTCTTGTTTTTAGATACAGACAGAGCTGCCATTAGATGCTGTGCGATGCTGGAGGTATGGGCCTTTTCCTTTCCACTTGCCCACTGGATGGCTTTCTCTTAGGTTAGCTTCATTAAGTGCTCCACATCTCCCTGACCTAAAGACCTGGAGAGCTGTGTTGGTTTCTCACCAGAAAATAGTACCTAATGTCAGAGCTATCACTAACCTCTGTCTCATTATGCTGCTTCTAGCATAAATGTTGGGCTTAACCTTTGAAAAGTAATTGTTAGATACTTAGGAGAAAAACAAGGAAGAAATGAGTCAGAAACACAGAGCTTCAGTTAATTTATGGAAGCAGCAATCTAGTCACTTAAAACTGAGTAAGTCAGACACTGGGCTTGACACAGAAAAAAATTATCTATTGGCTAACTATATTCTGTAAATTTGCTTTTGTCTTTTATTTTGCCATTGATCCTTCTATCACTATGTACTCTTGTCCTCCTTCTTCAGTGGATATAGTTTCATTTTATCTGTCCTGTTCTATATGATAAATACACAAGGCCAGGTTTTTTCTCCAAAAGTAACATTCAGTGAACTTGAACATGTTGGATTTTTTTTGTGCTCAGCTTGCTCTGCATCCTAAGTAATGGCTCATGATTGAGGTGCTTCCAGTTGATTGCACAAGAGATCACTAACTTCAGAAAATTTACATCTCCTATGTAGACTAGAGGGAGGCTGCAGTCTATGAGTCTATGTTGTTTTGTGATAACTGATCAAATGTTTCACTGTATTCTTGCACTTCTTTTCTGACAGGTCAGTAAATTTGTATCTTCCGAAATTCACGCTTTATGGGACATATAACCTAAAAGATATCTTATATAAAATGGGCATCATGGATCTATTCACTGATAAGGCTGACCTCTCTGGGATCACTGGGCAGCCCCAGCACAGAATTTCCCAGGTAAGTCATACTGCTTTTTGTTTTATAGGCACATGGTTACTGATACTTGCATCACTTTCTGCACAACTATTCGTGGTGCAAAACTCATATAAAAGGCTTTGCTTCACATGAAAAGGCAGCTGATGGCATACAGAGTATTTTGTCCACGTTAGTTGTACTGTATGTCTAATTGGGTTGGAGCAAGTTACTAGTCTGTAATTTTTTAATCTAGAAGGCTATTTTGACCTGCATGGGGCAACTTTATAAAACATACATGACCAAATCATTATCTATCCACACCTTGGTATCCTCTTGTAGCACGCTGTTACAGTCACCACTGGCTGCTTCTGATTGTCTGCCTTCTTTAGCCTGCTTGGGGGCAAGTAGGGAGCTGTAGGATGTATCACTGCTCGTATTTTGTGGAGGTGAGGGAAGAGGAAAAACACTGCTTGCTTTTAAACTGTTTGGGGGGAATGAAAATGCAGTTATTACAAACATTTGGCTTCAAGCATATGAACAATGACTGCCAGGCTCAGGCAAAAGCTACAGACAGATCATGCTTCAATAAACCTAGAGTTTAAAGCTGACAATCAGGGCAAACTTAATTGTCTAATGAAGAAAACAAATGCCCTCATGACCTCAAGTGGACATTAACGAATCAGGGTCTGTCAGCATCTTGATTTTGCAAGGTCAAACTGTTGTGTTTCTGTGCTTTGACCCTCCATTTTTGGCCCTTCATCTTTGCTCCCATTTTTCCCAAAACATGAAGGAACTAAGGAAACATAATTTAAGATTCCTATTCATTGTGCTAATCTGCATGTTGTTTCTTTAACTATATGAACTTCTAATACACAGTTAAATATGGTCTAACTCTCTTAACATTTGGTCTAGCTGTACAGATCTCCATGAGTAGATGCAAAGAATAAGAAACGAAACAAAGCAAATGTTTTCACTAGCAGGGACATGCCCCTCCAGTGGAGAGTAATTTTTCCTCTCTGGGGCATAGAAAGGTATGCTGCAAGGTGTGCAAGGCTAGAAAGCTTGCTGATTCCCCCCGCCGCCCCCCACCCTAACTTTGCAATCTTTAAGCAGTGGACTCACATCTGTCCATCTGACGCTCATTTCTTACCAGTAACTACTTCAGACACTTTTATTCTTATTTAGGTGACTAGTTTTGTACCCCCTTGACTTGTAAAATGTCTGTTTCTTCGCAGGCCATTCATAAGGCTGTGGTAAAGGTGGATGAGACTGGCACCGAAGCAGCAGCTGCCACAGGCATGGAAATAGTGCCCATGTCCGTTCCAGCTACCGTTAGATTCGACAGGCCCTTCCTAATGGTCATAACTATGGAGAACACTATACTCTTCATGGGAAAAATTGTGAACCCTCTGAAAAAAAATTAAGTTAATGTACAAGTTAGGTATGTGGTGATCACTCTTAGATCAAGTATTAGACCTGATGAGTATGGCATGGCTACAGAGGGCCTCTCCACCTCTTAACTGATGTTATTCACTGTTTTTTGTAGATGAGACTCTTCATCAGTTTAAGTTATCATAGTTGCATGTTTGTTTGGGCCTTGCTTCTTTTTTTTTTTTTTTTTTTTTTTAAGAAGGTTGCATTCATGCAGAACTGTCATTGCTCTGGGACAAAAATAGGCCTGTGTGATACTGACAGCTTAGATACATCTTCTAGCAGGGAAGATGAGAAGCATGTGGGTGGAGAGGGTTGTGTACGTCTGCTTCTTCCCTCATGGCTGCCTTCTCACCTATATTTTTATGTTGACTGACAAATAGGTACAAGTTATGTCACTTTACTATTTGTGTCAACTTTCCTACCAACATGAAATTCATAGCTAGCATAAAACTTAACATGCATAATGCTTATTACCTTGCCTAGTACCATTGTTGTCCAGTGAGTCTATTACACCCTTGCCTGTCAGCTGTTGTCCCAGCTTGGCTGCTGCAAAGGGGTCTCAAAGAAGGGGTGTTTTCCCCCTGCAGATATATATTGCCCTGCCTGCTGTTTCTGTGTAATCTATAGTCCAGACTCATTCCAGGGCAAACTTTTGAGGTTCTAAGAATTTGATCTAAGAAAAAAAAGAGATAGATCTGATCTCTGCACTTTGGCACCCTGGAGCCAACTCTTGTGAATCAAACATACAGCTCAGAGCAGCCAGAAGACTACTTCTAGCTTATGCCTGCACCTAAAGTAGCTCCTAGAAGTCCCCAGGCAGCAGGAAGCACAAGCCATGTCCCCCAGGTGCCAGTGTGGGTACCATTACTGTCTGCCTGGGAGATTACCCATGGTAGTAAGCACCGTTCCAGTATTGTTTGCAGGACCAGGCACCCTACCAATAAGACCCATACCCCATCAGTGGTACTTGCCATGTCTCTTGATATAACCCCTTCTGTTCCCAGACTGTCTGGTAATACAACATTGGTACTCTTCTTCTCATCTGCTTCATGGTTAGTATAGCCACAATATTATAAAGGGCTGTTTTCACTATTAGGAGACACAATAACCAGTCACATTCACAATGAACATGCTTATTTTATTTCCTTGTTTTCTTTCCTATCTATTTTTTTCTTCTGGTTTTTACAACATCTATCATTATTTTATTTCTTTGCTCATGTTCCTGGTATATGTCTGATCTCTGGTTGCAGGAGGGGTAAATTACTGACTAAAGTGGGTTAGTCTGTTAATAGGTATTAAGCACTTACACCAGTCTTTGCACAGCCTTGAAATATGCAGACAAATGTACTATGGGAGAACAACAACAATTAATAAACGTGACATTAAAAAGTTTATAATTTTGCTATTTTCCTTTTATAATTCAGAGTCAAGAATTAAGTATGGTTCAAGCAGGTTTTTTTTACTAGTGTCAACAAATAATTATTAATTTACTGCTCATATACATTAGATTGGCACAGTAATGCCAGTTTCAGAAAGCCCTCTGCCTTTAGCCTGAGCAATAAATAGTAGGTTATCTCTGCTAGGCAGAGAACCTTTTGGGAAGGCTGGACATTCATTTCACGCAAAGATGTTTATTTCAAAACCTTTAGAATGTGTGCTGCTTCTACTCTATCAAGTGCGTAGCTTCTGAGTGTCTCTCATGACTCTTCTAAAAAGCTGTCTCTTGACTCCCTCTAATAGCTGTTATCAGTCTTGGCACATTTTTGAGCTGAAGTTCCTGTTATTCCATAAACAAAATACAGGCCATCTGTATCATATCTTTTTGTGTTTTAATAAATTAGGTCAGGGAAACAAAAAAATTGCTTAGAAGCTTTTTGTAGAGGAACCCGCTTCCAAATTAAAATCACAATGAAGAAAAACTCATATCTATGGCATTCAAATAAGTCAATAAGAAAAAATAAATTTAGTGTTTCCCAAACTGAAAATTAGGTATACTAAACTTGCCTACATCACTGGATCCACAGCAAACCTTGGCAGGGTACTTTCTTCAGGTGCTTGGAGATATTTGTAATCTACATCAATCTAAAGGCACTGCAGATTTTCCTAGGTCACAGATAGTTTTCTGACAAAATCAGATCTTGCAGCTTGCATTTCTGTAAAAATGTACAGCAATGCATTTTGAAGTAAATCCAAGAAACCCTAACTTGTGAACAGAAAAAACAAATATATATATATTCACACTGAAAACTAAACTAGAATTAAGAAGAAAAGATTCAGAAATTGAAGTCATTATCAGCTCAGGGAATGTCCCCTTGCCAAAAAGAACAATTCCAGAACATTAAAACTGTAATAAGAAAGGACAAGGAGAACTTTGAGGGAAATGCCACAAAATAGTTTATTCTTTTTAAAAGAGATAATTTCAAAGAGCCTCAGGCACCAGTAGATGTCCAAAGTGTAAAAGAAGTGTTCAAGGAGGAGCAGTGGCAAAACAGAAAAGCTCAATCCATTGCACATGGGCTTCCTATGCAGTGGCTGAGCTTAAACCACTACTCCAAGCTGAACTAACAATAGAATAGTATTCAGGGAGGAAAAAAAGTAGTCAAAGAGCAAGTAACAACAAATTACCCTGATTGTTTAGTATGCATGCAAGAGCTCCTAGCTGTCTTAAGAAGAAAAATGTTAAGCTTTCCACACTGATGCAACAGTTAAACTATCTCCATACCACACTAATAGGAAGTGACAAATCTGGTGTTCAATTTTTTCAAAAAGATGCAAGCATGCATCTGGAGTGCAGACTAGTTAGATCAACTTCAGGTTTTTTGAAACTGCAGAATTTGTAGTTCTAGGAATAAGTATGACAAAATATTGAATAATAAACATGGTCATAGAAACATAGAATTTCTAGGTTGGAAGATCAATCCTTAAGATCAACTCTAGCCCTTAATCCAAAATAGTCAAGTCCAACCCAGTCCACATCCACACGTACCACCAGAGGTGGTGACTCAACCACTTCCCTGAGTGGCCTGTTCCCATGCTTGACAACCCTTTCCATGAAGAATTATTTCCTAATATTCAATTTAACCACCCCCTCCCTCACTCCACACCCCCCGGCACAATTTGAGGCCATATTTCTTCTTCTATCACTTGTAAATTGGGATAAGAAACTGACCCCCACCTGACTACACCTTCCTTCCTCCATTTAGAGAGTTGTAGAAAGTGACAAGATTCCCTTTCAGCCTTCTTTTCTCCAGGCTAAAAAACCTCAGCTCCCTGAGCCACTCTTCATATGACTGATTATCTGGACTCTTCTCCAGCTCTGTTCCCATCTCTGGACGTGCTCCAGCCCCTCAATGTCTTTCTTGTCATGAGGGGCTCAGAACTGAACACAGGATTTGAGGTGTGGCCTCACCAGTGCTGAGTACAGGGGGCAATCACTGTCCTGGTCCTGGTGGCCACACTACTGCTGACACAGGCCAGGATGCCATTGGCCTTCTTGGCCACCTGGGCACTGCTGGCTCATGTTCAGCTGCTGTCAAATTGCACCCCCAGGTCCTTTTCCACCAGGCATCTTTCCAGCCATTCTGCCACTGGCCTGTAGTATCACAGGTAGTTGTTTTGGCTGGATGCTTTGGGGGACACTATCAAAAGCTTTACTAAAGTCCAGGTACATAACATCCACAGCCATTCCTCATTCACTCAGCTGGCCACCCTGTCAGAGAAGGAGGTCAGGTCAGTACAAGTCCTTCTTTTCTCCAGGCTAAAAAACCTCAGCTCCCTGAGCCACTCTTCATATGACTGATTATCTGGACTCTTCTCCAGCTCTGTTCCCATCTCTGGACGTGCTCCAGCCCCTCAATGTCTTTCTTGTCATGAGGGGCTCAGAACTGAACACAGGATTTGAGGTGTGGCCTCACCAGTGCTGAGTACAGGGGGCAATCACTGTCCTGGTCCTGGTGGCCACACTACTGCTGACACAGGCCAGGATGCCATTGGCCTTCTTGGCCACCTGGGCACAGCTGGCTCATGTTCAGCTGCTGTCAAATTGCACCCCCAGGTCCTTTTCCACCAGGCATCTTTCCAGCCATTCTGCCACTGGCCTGTAGTATCACAGGTAGTTGTTTTGGCTGGATGCTTTGGGGGACACTATCAAAAGCTTTACTAAAGTCCAGGTACATAACATCCACAGCCATTCCTCATTCACTCAGCTGGCCACCCTGTCAGAGAAGGAGGTCAGGTCAGTACAAGTAGCACCTGCCTTTCATAAACCTGTGCTGGCTGGGCCTGATCACCCAGTTGTCTGCATGCTGTGTCATGGCACTCACAAGAATCTACTCCATAACCTTCCCTGGCAATGAAGTCAGGCTGAGTGTCCTGTAATGCCCCAGATCCTCCTTCTGGTCCTTCCTGTAGATGGACAGCCCATTTGCCAACTTCCATTTGTCTGGGACCTCCCTGGAGAGCCAGAACTGCTGATAAATGATTGAAAGTGGTTTGGTGAGCTCTTCCACCAGCTCTCTCAGTACACTTGTGTGTGTCTAATTGGTGCAAGAGGTTGCTGACCATTTTCCCTTGGTTTATGAGGTTTTCTTTCTTCCCCCTGTGCCTGTGTTGCAGCTCAGGCATCTGGGTATGCTCTGAACAGTGGGTCTTATTATTAACAACTGAGGCAAAGAAGGCACTGAGAATCTCAGTGCCTTCCTCATCCATTGTGACAATCTTCCTTCTTGCATCCAATAAAGGATGGACATTCACTTTAGCTTCTTATTGCTAATGTTTTTATAGAAACATTTTATTGTCTTTTACAGCAGCAGCCAGAACTTTTTGCCAAAGAATTCTTTGAAGAGCTGATATGTCCACATATTGTAATGGTTTTGTTGGTATATGCCACATACTTCTGAAAGCATACAAAATTCCTCAGGGCAGGACCTAAACCAATCACAAACTAGTAGGGAGGGAATACCCTTTATAAGCAGAGTGTTCAGGCGTGCAT